GCATGGCTAAGATCAAGGCTGGCGACGCGGCTCTTGTAGTAAATCAGTCTGAAACAGAGAGATAACAGGTGCCGTGGTAACAGAGGCTGAGGACAGTGGAGTCTCATTCCTCTTCTTTAACGTAAGGTTCAGCTAAGCTCAGACGTGCAGATGATGGACTGTGACTTTAATTGATTTTACAGCGCCTTCACAAACAGAAGGTAAACAAGCGCTGTCTGGGAGGCAGAGTGTCAGCACACATAGGGCTGCGACTTTAGATGAGGAATATTTCGGGAAACTGCTGCTTCATAAGACATATATTACATGGATGGAAATGTAGAAATGTTGTTCTCAGCTGGATCTGTATTTGACATTGGATCAAGTGGGGGACTTTATTTAAATCATAAATGTTTTGTATGTTTATCGTATGCTAAATTATTTACATGACATAGGCTAAATAGAACAATTGACTATATTGGTCTCTGGAATATTGATAGTTTCATGCATTAAACCAAATTTTTTATCCTTGCTGCAGGTGAAACCATATTTAATGTATAATTTTTTTTATTAAAAACAGAGCTAATATTGATTTAATGTTGACTTGAGTTATAAACAGTGCTTGTTTGAGTTACTTTCAATACCAACAAAAACAACAATAATTAAAGTTGTTTTTCACTATTTATTATTATTATTATTATTATTATTATTATCAAATCTATAATATTATTTGGGTCAGTAAGATTTTTGTAATGTTTTTAAAATAAGTCCCTTGTGCTTACCAAGGCTGCATTTATTTGCTCAAAAAACACAGTAAAAACAGTAATTTTGTGAAATATTATTACCATTTAAAATAACTGACTTTAATTTTAATATATTGAACTTTTTTCACTGTGATGGCAAAGCTGAATATTGAGGAAATATGCTGATTTTGGTGCTCCCAAAACATTTCTTAATAATATAAATGTTGAAAATGGTAATGCTGCTTCTTAATGTTTTGTTTGAAAACAGTAGTGCTGCTTAATATTTTTGTGGAAATTATGATACATATTTTTTTCAGGATTCAATGATGAATAAAACATTTAAAAGAACAACATTTATTTGAACTGGAAATCTGTTGTAACATTATAAATGCTTTTCTGTCACTTTTGATCATCCTTGCTGAATAAAACTATTAATAAAAAAAAAGATTACTGACCCCAAACCTTTAAACAGTGTATAATATTATTGTTTTAGAAGTGTTAATAATAAGAATATGTGCTGCTCTTGTTGAACAAATTGTTAACAAATCCTATTTAGTTCATCTAATAGACAGTAATTGAACTCCATTAAAGGGCATAATGAAAGGGTTTCCCCAGCACTGTAATTTAGCAGCTCTCTGTCTTTGCTGTGGTGTGTTGGTGTGCTTGTCTTAAGCTCTCTTTGCTGCTGGCTCTCAGCAGGATTAGAGTGAGTGAGCTATCTGCTCTCCTGCACAGCTCCACTCACTCACACTCGCCTCTTTATTCTCTCCATCAACTTCAGCTGAGCTTGATTTCTCCAACAGTGAATTCTCTCTGCTGTCACTCTGTGTGTTGATGAGATGTCAATCTCTGCAGGGGAGAGTTTTTGTTCTGTCAGGCAGAACGCAGCATCATTCTGGTCTGCTTATCTCACGCTAATATAGCCGCCTCTAAATCACAGCTCTCGTCTGCTGACTCTGTGTACAATTACGGAATTATTAACCTGTGTTTTGTTTCCTCTAGTTGAAGGAATAGTTTATCCAAGGAAAATTCTGTCATTATTTACTCACCCTTATGTCATTTCAGGGTTTTTCCCCTCCACAAAATATGATTGTTTCGTAGTGATTATAAAAATAACTAAAACACTGTAAAAATAAGATTGGTGTGTGTGAGGAAAATACCAGAATTCATTATTTATTAATATCTTTAACATTTTAAAAAATGATCATTTCTTATGTCATTGTTACCTAATGCTGTTAATTTTTGCATTACAAAAAGTAATTAATTTATTTATTTAATGAAATTTTCTCAAAACATCTAATAAAAAGTATTTGGAACAGTCTTATATTACTATCATTGACATAATTGTATAGTTTTTGTTAATATTTTGAATTAGAATTTACTTTTATATTCTATATTCATTTAATTTGTAGTTAAAGTTTTAGTAATTATGTTGTGTTTTGTCATTTTTAGATAAAAGGTTTCATAGTTAAATCTTATTCTTGTTCTTTTAATGTTCTTCTTTTTTTTTAAATATGGCTATATAATTTATTATGTTTTAGTTTTACTTTATTTAATTTTAGTTATTTTAGTTATTTAGTTGATTTTGTTATTTTATTTTAAATAAAAATGGCAAATTTTGCTTAACTAGTTTAAATTTTTATTTTATTTTATTAATATTTTATTATTGCAATAATTTTACTATGAAAATAATATTTAATATTTATTTTAATAATGAAATGAAATTATTTTTAATGGTTTTATTTAACGATAAAACCCCTGATTTGGAATGCTTGTATTATGAATAAAATGATCAAATTTAAATTACTTAAATTTTAATTTCATGCAACTTTTAGACATTTCACAGATATATAATGAGAATATTTAAAATCCATAAAATCTTTCTCCATGCTAAGTTTATAATTACCATCTTTTCACGACCTCCTCAGGAATGAATCAGCATCTGCACCTCACCTTAAGAAATATATTTGCAGATAAGTATGATTATCTTTTCAAATCAGCATGCTCTTCAGCGGTCTTACTCCAGTGAACAGCCAAACATGCTAATTTGAAAGAATCCATCAGGTCAGCGTGGCTCTCGGCTGCACGTTTGATTTCACACTGGGCAATTGGGAAAGTGAATTAAAGTGTGTGTTCTAATTGCCCGTCGATGCCCAGAGGAGCCAATATATTCATGCTAGCAGACGCGCATGCATACACTCGGTTCAAGAGTTCTCAATAAATCTGGGTACTCCAATTGTTTGATTTCCATTACGCCAATGGTTCAGATTGCTATTTGAATGTATGAATCACAGCTGTCTCTGCAGGGCAGCTCTGAGTCGTCATGCATGCTCAACAAGCTCTGTCTCAATCCACTGCCAGTGCTGCAGCGGTGTGGCTGTTTCCAATTTAGCCTAACAATACTGAACACCTGAGAGAAGAACGAGGAAGAATACAAGTTTGAGATCTATCTAAAAGTAGATCGATCTATCTATCTATCTATCTATCTATCTATCTATCTATCTATCTATCTATCTATCTATCTATCTATCTATCTATCTATCTATCTATCTGTCTGGCATTGTAGAGTGTCTTGACAAACCGTAATTACAGCTGTATGATTTTTCCTAATGAAACTTGAATTCTACTTTCTTACATCGAATTCCAGTTGCAGTTCTGGGGCTGATGATCTTTAGTAGTACATGATTGTACGTGATGAGAGCATTATAGAGGTGAGATCTATCATAAAGAACAAAAGAAAACTGTTAGAGAAGACAGATTGTGTGTCACTCTGTGCGCCATCTGCATCTGCTGGACTTAATTAGTGTGCAGTGAATATACACCGCAGCTGTGAGAGATGGACAGAGAGAGAGAGAGAGAGATGTGAAAATATAATGAAAATAATTACTGAAATATCATATAATTAAGGAAAGTGAGGTGTTAATGAGATGAGCAGTTTATCGAGGGAGTATGAAATGTTTTGAGTGGAAGATGAATTAGAAAAGAATGGTGGATTGGATGGCGAGCTGGTCTAGCGCTCTATTATAGCCCTAACGTTTGGGCCATTGCTGCCAAGGACTGAACTAATTACCCAAAACCAGCATGATATCTCAGGAGTAACGGATTAATTAACAGGGCCGCTGTTCCCATAGTTGGAAGATATTATTTTCCTCTATCCCAGACCATGGAGAGGTCTAGTCCCAAACCACACTCCTGCTCTCTGTCAGACAGTACAGAAGAGGAAGGATTTTGTTTCTGTTTCTTACTCTTTGTCTGTATCTGGTGTAGCTAAGCGTTGAAGTATGATTTAGTAACACCTAGTATAATTAAAAGAGTCTTTATCATCATAATGTTTCAGTTATATTCATCGTGTTGGAGCTTGTAGAAAAATGTTCTCCCAAAATCCCATAGTTGTGGGCAGTATGAGTGATATTTTATATCACAGTCGGAGTAATATAAATACACACACAGTCATTCCTTTTTATTTTGTAAATGCATGTTATAAATCTTATTCTGTACAATTCATCATTCATGTATGTATTTCATTATATTATTTTTTCATATGAATTGTTTGATCTTATAATGTTCAGTTATAATGCCATAACCTTCTCTATGCCTTTCGTGGCATATGCCGACTTACATTATATAACCAGGGTTGTGTGTGTTATTCAGAATTAAATTAAGAATGCCTTTAAATTACAATTTAGATTATGAGCAAAAGTGTGCATGATTGTGCTACAAATTGGAGTGCAATGAAGTAGAATTACATGGAAATTAATAATGTTTCATGCAACAAATTCTCTAAAAAGGCAAAGTCAGAAAAGCAAACCCTTTGAAGGTTAACAAGCCTTACAGACTGATATATAGATCTACAATAATTGTATTAGAATTCTGCCCTCTGCAAATTTGTAAAATTTTTACATACCGTTTAGCCTTAATTTCTAGGATAGGAATGATCAGATGAATTCTTTGAAATCCTTAGCTGACGATAGGGACATTCCCCCTGGAGCGGAGGTTAAGCGCCCTGCTCTAGGGCAGAATGGTGATTAGGGAACTCAACGACCCTCCGCTTCACTGACGCCTCTGAGGATATTGACCTACAACCTTTGAGTTTGGGCTCAGATATTTAACCACTTTACAGTCATGACCGTCCAATTATTAAAATATCTAAATGCTAAAAAGTCAAAGTGTAATGAGGGTACAGACTCTTTGGTTTAATGTGGCAGTGTTCATTGCAAACAGAAACATATTTCGACCCTATTGCCACAAAATTCAGCTTCCTTTTATTATTCTTTTCATCAGGTAACACCAACAGCATGTTTGCTCTCGACTACATCAGCGGATCCCTGACAGTGAGTGGACAGCTGGACCGGGAAAATCCCCTGTACTCATCCGGATTTACAATCACAGTAAAGGTGAGACTCAAATCTAGATGTAGTTCTCATGAGAATTAAAATAGATTTTTATTCTCAATAAGAATAAAAAGTGTTTTTGAGCTTTAAAAAACGGTTTCTCAAAAGGATTTGTTCAGTTTCAACAATTTAGCTGTTCTATAACAGAAGATTATTTGTAAAAGAGTTTTTGAAAAAAGTAAAAATAAAGTAACACTAAGAATAGAGTAATTCCCCTTCAGGAACTCAAGCTGCGTCGAAACGCTATGGGAACGCCTTCAGCGTGACCACGCTCTGAATCACGTGTGTAATCAGTCCAGTGGATGGGCGAGACGTCAGGGGTGGGGTGACGTAGAGACCAGGGAGCTTAAAAGCACGTGCGATGGATAAAGCGGCAGCTTCTGTCATTCAGCGAAGCGCTCTGTGTGTGTCAGTTCTATTTATTGTTGTCTGTCCCAGTAAAAGCATAAGCCATGTCTAAGGCGAAAGACAAGCATAAGGGTGAGAGCAGACAGCATTTTAGACCATGTGTTCCTCTCTGCCCGCACTACGTTATGGGTGGGGATACACACAGTTTATGTGTTGTTTGTCCACTGCAAACGCTCCGCTCCCGCCGAAAACGCTTCTAGGAGTGTGTCCGTGCTTGTGATCTTGCGGTTCCATATGAGGCACGGCAGCGATTGAGATCATGGGGATCGCACATGGATCTAGCGGACGGGTAGGAGACGGGCTGACCCTTCCTCCACCTGCACTCCCTAGATCTAGCGCTCTCTCTCTCGGGGTTCGGAAGCCCGCACTGTGGTCGCTTCCCCCTTTGAGTGAGAGCTCGCTGCTGCAGCTATCTTTCTCAGAGGAGACTGATATTGTTTGCATATGAGCAGACTGCTTTTGGATCTCTCATTCTCCCTGCCCTCGCTAAAATAAGGGGTGGGGATGCACGCGATTTATGTGTAGTCTGTTTTGGAGCAGAGCACACACAGTCAGCTCTTGAGGGGGCTGGCTGTGTTCATTCTGTAAATGTCCCTTAAAAATAAAAAAGGAAACATTACATTTGAATGGGAGCAGCCCCAGCCGTGGTCCAGCTCCTCATTTGGGGAGTGTCGCTTTTCGTACGCCCCCAGAATATCAGGAGTCAGAGTGGCGCTCCCAGGCCGATGGCTTCTAAACAGAAGGCGGATCTGTAGACCGTCATTCTAGCCGGATAGTCTTCGACTAAAACGTCCTGACGCCTATGGCCCAGGATTTCTGAGGGAGGGCCCCTCTGGGGAAGAGCGGTGTACACCTCATCATACAGTGCCCATCACTCCTTAGTGCCCTCAGGAGACCAGTCTGTCAACCCTGCCACCCCCAGTGCTTCAGGGCACAGTGGTCTCCACGAGCGCATCTCTCAGCATATGCCCGGAAATGTGGAGTTCTGGGAGGCTCGCTACCTCCAAGGAGTTCTCCAGAGCAGCTAGATTGGCCGTCTCATGCCGGTCCTCTGCTTCAGGGCACCGAGCTAGCTGCTCTAAGTACTCCGGAGGCCAGTCTCGAGAGACTGGTTCCCTTAGTAGGTCACCTTGCGGTATGGGAGCCCCTGCCAAATGTATCTCATTGGGTCCTGCCCCGAGCAGGCTCTGGTTGTGTTAGACTAAGTCTTCCAAGGAGATGACAGGTCTAAGGACCGTCATTTTCAATTATTTTCAAAAAAAAAAAAAAAAGTCCTGATGGCTATGGCTCAGGACTTCTGAGGGCAGGCCGGTGTACACCTCATCATACGGTGCCCGTCTCTCCTCAGTGCCCTCAGGAACTGATGGCAGCTGCATTCAACGTGATACCTTTTGGCCTGTTATACATGAGACCCCTAGAGTGGTGGCTCAGGACCAAGGGGTTTTCCCCAAGGGGCAACCCACTTTGCATGATCAAGATCACGCGGCGATGCTTACATGCCTTAGACATGTGAAAGAAACCTTGGTTCCTGTCACAAGGCCCCGTGTTGAGGGCTCCATGTCGTCGCGTAACGCAAACGACGTACGCCTCCCTCATGGGCTGGGGAGGGTCTGTGGGAAGGTCCCAATCTCATGTGGCACATCAACTGCCTGGAGATTCTGGCCGTGTTTCGAGCATTGAAGCAATTTCTCCCAGACCTGAGAGGCCATCATGTGCTTGTTCGCACAGACAACACATCGGTGGACTCTTAGATCAACCGCCAGGGGGGTCTGCGCTCGCACTCCCTTTACAGGCTGGCACGCCAGATCCTTCTGTGGTCCCAGGGGAAACGGAGGGTCTGTGGGAAGGTCCCAATCTCATGTGGCACATCAACTGCCTGGAGATTCTGGCCGTGTTTCGAGCATTGAAGCAATTTCTCCCAGACCTGAGAGGCCATCATGTGCTTGTTCGCACAGACAACACATCGGTGGACTCTTAGATCAACCGCCAGGGGGGGTCTGCGCTCGCACTCCCTTTACAGGCTGGCACGCCAGATCCTTCTGTGGTCCCAGGGGAAACTGCTCTCCGTGAGGGCAGTGTACATCCCTGGGCACCTCAATCAGGGAGCAGACATCCTGTCGAGGTAGGGGATGAGGCCGGGGAACGGAAGCTCCACACCGAGGTGGTGGAGCAGATTTTGAAGATGTTCGGTCGAGCCCAGGTAGACTTGTTTGCTTCTCGAGCCTCACAATGTCCCCTGTGTTTCTCCCTCATGCATTCAGCGCCCCTGGGGCTGGATGCTATGGTACAGACATGGCCGAGGCTTCGTCTGTACGCCAGATTGCTCTGCTCCCGGGAGTTCTGGAGAGAGTTCGCCAGGACAGGGTTAGTCTCTTATTAGTAGCCCCATACTGGCCAGGCCGGCCATGGTTTGCGGACCTGGTAGCCCTACTCGGAGACTCTCCATGGGAGATTCCCGTTCGGCAGGATCTCCTCTCTCAGGCGGGAGGCACCATTTTTCACCCCCGCCCAGAGTTGTGGAAACTGTGGGTGTGGCCCCTGAGGGGGCACAACTCGTAACTTCCGGTCTCTCAACTAAGGTTGTTGATACCATACTCCACTCCAGAGCTCCATCCACGAGGAAACTGTACTCCTTGAAATGGGTTGTTCACTTCATGGTGCGTAAATCGTCAGCTGCTCCCAGTTAACTGCCCGGTTGGTTCAGTTCTGGAGTTCCTGCAGAAACGATTCTTCACAGGTTTGACCCCCTCCACCTTTAGAGTGTTTGTGGTGGCCATAGCTGCTTTCCACTTCCCTTTGGGTGGTAATTCACTGGGGGCGAAACCCGTTAGGTACATGTTTCTTTCATTGTGCTTGAGGCCAGGAGAAGTATGGTACTGCTCCAGACTTTCAGGTGCTTCTGTGGAACGTCTCTAGTTTACGTATGTAACCCTGGTTCCCCCGAGGGAACGAGACGCTGCGTCGCATTGCCATCCCTGTGAGCGACTTGCTTCAACTATCAGAAGCTAACGCTGCTTGTTACGGATGCACTTTTAAGCTCTCTGGTCTCTACGTCACCCCGCTCCGTGACGTTTCGCCATTCCATTGGACCGATTTCACATGTGATTCAGAGCGTGGGCACACAGAGGTTTTCCCAAAGCGTTTTCACACAGTGACTCATTCCCTCAGGGAACCAAGGTTACATACGTAACCTAGAGATGTTAAATGCGTAACCTAGAGACGTTATTCTTTATTATATCATTTGGACAATTTTTTTTGGTTGCTTCCTCAATTGTACCGAAAGAGCTGTTCATAGATTTGTTGAGAAACTGGAATCGTTTTGTGGAATTGGAATCAGAATAGTGAAGTTCCTTGAGCTCTTAAAACCTTTTATCATAAGTCTTTCAACCCTGCGTGAGATTCAAATCCACTAATGCATTATTCAAATCTATTCTGTAAAGTGTCAAGGTCAAGATTGATTTTAAATGAGGAATGAAATCACATATAAGCAGATTTGTTCTGTTTCCAGAAATTCTTGTGTAGTAGCTCTGGTTAGTCTCTCGTCCCCTGCTCTGAACTCATTGGGATCTCTGCCAAATGCTGTATTGATTCTACAGTAAATGTTTGCGGAGTGTGACTGTAATTTATAGAGCCATTTACCCACATTGAGCATATCAGGATCGGTGTGTGAAAAGGTCTCACTGACCCTGGAGCTTTCAATACATTTTTAACTCTTTTGCATAGCTATTACAAAATAAACGTTCAAAACACTTCTAATTACACTCAACTGGACTGGATTTTCCAGGCTTACTGTGCATGTAAAATGATTATTTGGAGTACAAGAAAATACTATTATACGCATTATACTTCAAATTTTGATATTTACTTAACCACTGATTCTTTCACAGGTCACAAATAAATTAAAATTAATATTTTTGTGACATAGATCATATCAACTCTTTTTAAACACAGTCAGATGCTCTTGTTTCCGTTGAAGCTCAAGATGTACTCTTTTATGACAAAAATATATTCATCTATTATGCCTTGTGTGTGTGTGTGTGTGTGTGTGTGTGTGTGTGTGTGTGATGTCATCGTTATCTCTGTGCCCCGCTGACAGTTCCAGGGCCAAAAACTGGAGGAGTGTGTGTGTTTTAATGTCCCTCTAGACCTCTGCAAGGGAAACTCTTTGTTCCTGTCTCTCCATCTGTGAGAGCTCAGTTTAAGCGAGGCCTTTAGGCTCCTGAAATAGTCACACACACACACACACACCTTTGCCTCCTCTTCGGGCTGCATGGCAATGGAGAGGAGAAAAAGAACAAAAGAGGAGAAACAGAGCAGTTTAGAGCAACTTTTATAATAATTGTATAACTTTTATAATTCCAGTAAAACACCACAAGTATGATACTGAAAATCTGAAATGACTGTTATTAATATGGTACATACTACCATTCAAATGTTTGGGGTTTGGGTTATCATAGTTTCCACAAACAAATATTAAGCAGCACAACTGTTTTCAACATTGATATTAAGAAGAAATATTTCTTTAGCAGCAAATCAGCATATTAGAAGGATTTCTGAAGGATCATGTGACACTGAATATTCAAATAGAAAAGCAATTCTAATAATATTTCACAATATTACTGATTTTTTCGTATTTTTCACAAAATAAATGCATGGTAAGCATATCTTTTTTCCAAATTATTAAAAAAAATCTTATCAATCCCAATTTTTGGAATAGTATTGTATGTATACGGTGACAAGAAAAAGTGTGTGAACCCATTAGAATTGGTTGTTTTTTTATTGATCAGAAAATGCTTGTGTGTTGTTAGCTTAAGCACATTATGTTTGTTGATACTTGCAAGACTTGACAATTTATGACCAATTAATGCAGAAAACCAACCAATTCCAAAGGTTTCACATACTTTTTCTCGACACTAATTATAATGTGCAGTAACAGGTGTGTGTCTGTATGAAAATACTGTTTACCAACAAACGTTTGGTCGTGACATGTCTGGGATCTTCAGACACCCCAGAAAAGAGCTGTTTTTGGTTAGCACTTTATTCAAATTGAGCTGAAAATGACCAGAAACTGCTCTGTGTGGCATTCTAAAAGTTTTCAAAAGATTGGTGGTGATTTGGGTCTCTGTAGATTTCTGTCATTATCTCTCTGGGTCGGGATTTGACACACACTTGTCATCATTATCGCCTCTGCTCTGATAAGAACCCATTGAACTGCTGCCGGTGTCTGTAGATTTGCACAAGTTGCCTATGCTTTATTTTAACTTCCAAAGCACAACCGCAATAACAAATAAATGACCATATAACATTATCAGTTATGTAACAGTACCCAGTCTCACCAGCACATGAAAGTACATACAATTTTTTTTTTATGTACTTTTTGTATGCTATTTTGATATTTTGTGCAATCAAAACTTCATATAATCTTCTGATAATTCTACATCAAAATCAAAATTTTACAAGGAATTCAAAGTGATTAGAAATCAGAGCCAGACTGTTCTGTTTTATAAGGAAGTTTTGGTGACTGTTACGTTTAAATGTTCACTTATTATTGTTGCCTCTTTTTCTGCCTGTAATATTATTCCCGTCCGGACAGTTTCATAAATGTGTTTTGGATTCTTCTGCTCTATTTGCAGTCATAAACTGCATAGCTGTAGTCCTCTAAATTGAAATCAATGATTGCCACGAAAAGTGAAACTGAAAACAAAGCAAACGCAAGAAAAACCTCCCAAAATATTCATAAGTTATAGATTTTCATTATCTATTTCTCTCTCCCGAGCCTCTGGTCCTACAGTATATATGTATTTTTTCTTTTACCATTTTATTTTCTTACTCTCTCTCTCCGTCTCCCTCTCTCTTATTGGTGGCATTATTGATTTTGAGTGAAAAGTAATAAAACTAATTTCTCAACTTCACAGCGCTTGGATAGGCCAGAGTACATTGGGCTGGAGGTCAGTGCATTTATATATGGAGGGATAGAGAAGAGATGTGCAAGGGGGTGTTATACGACACAATTCGTGATTAACCTGGACCCGCAGCGTCGCCGCACCTCCATCCTCCATTCACCCCGCATCCCTCCGTCACAAAACACCATTATTCCTTTTGATTTCTCTGTGAACCCTGCTCCATTGCTCAAAAAGAGGAGGAGAGAGAACGAGAGGGAGGGAAGAAAGAAAGTGATTGTGAGCAATTATTTCCTGTCGATAAGACTTGTTCAACTTAAATCTTATTGGCTGTGTCTGTCTTCCCGCGCTGGCCCCTGTGTGCCCCCACTTACGGCAGACCTGTGGGATTTCTCCCAGAATCCTCCCCTCTGATTTAATAAAGAGGCAGAGCTGAACAAATCGAGGAGATTGAAGACTAAACGTTAATGCTGCTTACTGACAGATTCCCTCTATTATCACATCCGTTTCCTCTCTGGTTTCGTATCTCGTACTGTCTCTCTCTGTCACTCGTATCTCTCCTTTCTTTATTTTGCTTCTCCTTTCCTTTTCTAAAGCTCCTTTAAATATTTTCCTCACATTAGAGAGATGGATGATGGTGTTGTCTGTCTGCATTTTTTTTTGCATGTACACTATAAAAAACAATTTTTCGAAGCAAAACAAATATGTTTTACAAGAAAATAATTTCAGTTTATCTACTTCAAATGTTCATGTTTAATTCAATGCGTTTTATATTTGTTCATTTACTAGCAATTTCTTAGTGAATTTATTCTTAGTGTATGACATTTTACTACTTTACTCAGTTGTCAATAAAATGATTAGTAACCAAAATAACTAATTAATGGTAGACCATTCCCAAGATTTCTGCAGAATATTGCATCTGCTTCTGTTCATTATTAAATATTTAGATTTTTTGGTTTCACTGTTATTTGTATTTTATTCTTTCTGACTGACTCACAATTTTTTCATTATATTATATATTTTAAATGATATTTTTGCTGTGATCAAAAGTGTCCATGTTAATTTCATGACATGAGAATAGGTCAATTATTTGATTAAATAATAAGTTGTATATGTAATGAAGCTAAGAGTGTTTTGATGGCTGTTAATCAGTTAAGAAATGTATTACAGTTAGATAAAAAAAACATTCATAATAGTCATAATAAAAGGATTTAATTACATTTTATAACATAAATAATGTTGAACAAATTACATTTTGGAAAAAAATGCACTGCACTGTTGAAAGTTCTTATTGAAAGTATATATAAATGAACATGAATTCTCCAGCATGATTTGAGAAGGAACCAGAGAGCATCTTGTTCTTAAATGAAAATCTGGATCATATGTAATGTAATCATATAATCAATGTCACAATTTCTCTGAAAATCTTCAATAGTTCTTGCTCATTGTACATCGTAAGTTTTCTTTGTTTTGAAATGGTTTAAAACCCTAAAATATTGTCTTTATTTCAAGGTTTACAGATTCCCCTTCCAAATATCCCTTGCAGTCTCATTTTGCAGTCTCCTAACCTCTGTATGCCTGTGTGTCTCTCTGTAGGCCACAGAGCTGAATGAGGATCGCACACCCTCGTCTGCCACCGTCATGACCACCTTCACCATCCTGCTGATCGATAAAAATGACAATCCGCCCAGGTTTAACAGCTCCGAGTATCGCGTCCTGATCCCAGAGCTGGCGCAGGTCGGCTTCGCGCTGCCTCTGTACATACAGGTCGAAGACAAAGACGAGGTGAGACATGCACACGTACCAACAGTGAGGTTTTAAAAGAGAATATTTTTCCCTCACATGATTTCCCTGACACATATTAATTATTCAGACGGGCGAGTATAGCCTGTGAGTATATTGACTGTTTCTTCATGAGTTAAGCTGTTTGTGGTTTCCATGAACATGACATTTTCTCCAGCAAAGACTCTTCTGATGTCAGAAACCCCTGACCGCTCTCACTGCTCTCCTTCATGGCAGTAGCTCCAGAAGGAGCCTGGAATCAGTCAGACGTCAAGCTTTCTCACCTGCTCACCTCCCATCACTCAAGCTTCAAACTAGTCATTCTTCTGAATCTGCTCTCCTGGCAGTAAAGTGCTCGAGTCAGCAGCAACATGCTTGCATAACTCCATGCTAATTCTTTCCGATCTGTAAGCAGTTTTTGACACTGCCATCCGCACGTTTTGCTGGAAGAGATGGGCATTTCAGAGTCAGCACTTCGCTATTCGTCATATGTGAATAACAGGACCAGGTCAGTTGGATTGACTGGCTTCCTCACCTGGATCCTTCACCACTTGGTTTTCCTAGGGCTAGGAAATTGTCAAAATGAGTTTGCTGGCGCTAAATGTTGTTTTTGCTTCAGTAGTGCAGAAACAGGGCAATGATTTGTGGGTCAGTTACAGGATGCTCAGGTCTCTTCATTTGTTCAAAAATACATTAACATTCAGTTCATACATACAGTCAATTGAATTGATGATTTTGTTTTATTATTATTATTATTAAAATTAATTGTAAATATTTTGGGAGAACAAAGTCAAAAATGTCCTGACACAACTGTCTTGATATTATTATGAAGAAAAAGCCTTATTATTTGAATTAATTCTAAGTATGAAAACAATATGAAGTAGTTTAGCATGATCTCAGTTATTTCAATTACTATTATTATTATTATTATTTTATTTTAAAAATAAGCTCAGACACATACAGTACCAATGATTTGTGGGTCAGTTACATGATGATTGTGTCAAAAAAATACATTAAATTCAGGTATAGCCACTTAAATAGACCTTCTTATGATGAGCATCATTTATTTTTGTATTAAAATTAATTTTGATATACAGTATTTGGGGTCGTAAAGTAAAAAATATCACAGTTATACAACTGTACTGATACAATGAAGAAAATAAATCATTATTATAATGAATTCAGTTTAAGAATGAAAACGATACAAAGTAGTTTGGCATTATTTTTCATAGTTATTCTCTTACTATTATTATTTTATTTGAAACATAATGTATTATGTTATTGTTGTTAATCATAATAATAATAATTTACTTATTTTTTACTTATATAATATGCTTGGTAAGCGCAATTTTAAATTGTCAACTAATTGTTGCAGTCAAGCGTGTGTGTCACAATCTGTTGTACAACAAAAATTAGCAGCATTTTTAATGGTTTTGAAGTGGTTTATTTGTTATGAGGCAGAAATATTTACTTGGGCCGTTTATTCAGTGGAAAGCTGTATAAATGTTATGGCTTGTGAATATCAAAGGTCTGTAGTGAACGCTTGTCAAGGTCTGAGTTTGAGTGATAAAATGCAATTTTTTTTAAACCATTCTTTTGTAAATAGGGTAATAAATTTGTATAGCTTTTATACTGGAAAATATACTCTAAATTCTTATTTGGATGCAACATGTTCAAATCCGCTATAAAATGTTTATGAACAAACACATTCTGATGTACGTCCATGGTCTCTTGCATGGCGTCATACACAGACAGGGACCCCATTTAGACTGGAGCAGGGTTTAATGTACTTTTGAGTAGGTGAGAGACAGCAGCAAATTATCACTAACCAGCAGAATCAATCAGAGATAAGAGCAGCAGAAGTCAACTTAAGATTGATTCCTGCTTCAAATTTGTAAGGATAAAAGAAACTCAGATACTTTGATCTCCTGAGAAACAGACAATACAAACTTACACGGGCATCTTCGAGACACCCCACAGAGTGGTGGTGCAGGAAACGCCTCTCTCACATATGCATCAGTTCCTATTCATCTCCTTCCTTCCCCTTACCCATCCTCCCTCCACTTGATTCACTCAGAATGGTCAATAGTATAATGTTCTATATGAATGCAAATAAGATTTACAGTCATGTTTGATATCATTTGAATAGTCTCAGGGCGAGTGGTACAATGGTCTTAATCTTACAAAAGTAGACTAAAAGATAATACAGATCCTAAGAGTTAAGAGATACTTTGATTACTGTAGAGGGTCATTCCATGCAAATTACCTTCTGTTCCCATTGAGGTGTAAACCACCCAGGTCTGGGACCTGTCCACACACTTCATACTATGTATTTTTCTAAAAGTCAGGTATGCATCTTACTTTTAGATTCGTCTATGAGAATTTGATGTATTGATTTGATATCTTTGAATTGGCTATGTAATTGGCATAATACATATTTACCTGACTGATAATAAATTGTTACATTTGATTTATTCTGACTTACTCTGAAATGATTTTTTCAAGTAGATTAAGTGAAGGCGTATGTTTCCGCAAATCTGCGTCCAGGGTTAAATGAATACTAGATCTCAGGTTAGATGGAGCATGGCGCACATCAGGTGAGATTATAGATTTCTGACTAACTGCTTGACTTTAGTTAAGTTGTACTCAGTTGCGTTAACTATGGGGGACTAGTCATAGTACTGGTCATAACCGCTGGTTATTGTCTCAGCTTTAATTAAGTTGTACGTAGTTATATTAATTATCATGGGCTAGGCAAATAGTACTAGCATAACCGCTGATTATTGTTTGAGCTTTATTCAAGTTGTACGTAGTTATTTTAACTATCGGGAGGCTAGATAAAAATACTATCGAAATATTAACATATTTCATAGTACTAGCATAACCGCTGATTATTGTCTCAGCTTTAGTTAAGTTGTACTTAGTTATATAACTATCGGGGGCTAGACGAATAGTACTAGCATAACCGCTGATTATTGTTTTGAGCTTTAACTAAGTTGTACATGGGTAACTGTAGGGGGCTAAACAGAACTACTATTTAAAAAATGGTAAGCATGGACGACCTATTAAATAGTATTAGTCATAACCTCTTGCTAATGATCAGACTGGCGAGTTTGTGATCGTGGGGCCCACATAGAGCAGCCGCCGTGAGGCACCCTGAGCGACATAGATTCCTAATGGATGAGTAAATATAAAGTAAAGAGTTAACTAGAATAACCAAATGTCAGAATAATAGCAATAATTAGAAACAGACAAACAACCAATTTGCCTTTCAACCTAAATTCGAGGTCATACTAAAATGGAGTCAGATTAGATAATAAAATGGAGTCAGATTTGAGTTAAACCTAAATTTAATAACTTTGCGTGCTGAAAAGACCGAACACGCAAGAAACCTTCATCCACCACTGGATACCTTCCTTGGGCCAAGTGCGTGGACCTTACAAATTATTGGAACAGAGAGTGACATAAATAAAGAGGGAGAAAGAGCGGCAAACTAGCAGTCTACTTACTGTATACTGCATACTTTTTTATAATTTTCTTTTTTATAAAGTAAGACATAAAGCAACATTGAAAAAAGATTCTCATGCTTACCAAGGCTGCATTAATTTATCAAAAATAAGGTAAAAAATGTAATATTGCATCTATCAAATGCACTTTATCCAATCAGAATTTCCATTCCCAGAACTATCCATTTTATTATTCTGACAATCGTCATAAATGTATTCAATGCATGCAGAAAATTTGTGTGCGCAGTTTACGTACATTATACTGCAGAAATAATAAGAGTAGTCTATTAGTATGCTGTTCTGAACATAACCAGGTGATTAAACAGAAAGTGTGTGAAAATCACCTCCAGTCAGTAACTCAAAAATTTTACTGTCCTGTCACTTTTGATTGGTAAATCAAAATTATATTGGTCTCCAATTACTTAACTAAGTCCCTTTACCCTTCAGTCTTTGAGGGCATGTAGCTCTTTTTCTCCTTTGAGCAGTGGGTGTTTCGTCTTACACTGGAAATACAGCAGCAGCTACATATTAGAGGCATTTTCAGCTCTCTCAGCACAAGACTTTCTGAACACACAGGCGAGTAGAGAGAGAGATAGTAGCTCTTCAGCACAGTGAGGCTCGACTCTGATCCTAATGCAAGATGAACAACAGTTCTTCAGAGGGTCCAAGAGTTCAGTAACCACCTCAGCCTGCATATGCATGTCTTTGAAGAGGCTTCTTGGGCTCAAGCTGAGTGTTTATTTTGGGATGAGTTGGGGACTGAAGTTCAGGCTGTCCTTCTCTGTCTTTTTTGGACTTCAATGCATCAAACTACATAAATGATGGTTGCTAATATGTGTGTACGTGTGTGTGTGTGTACGTGTGTGTATATATATATCATTAGCTACCTCATTAGCGCAACTTAATCAAATTAATTACATAATTATTGATTATTTGTTCTGAATTTATGTATATGGGCTTGACATTAAATGGGCTTGAACCCAAATGTGGGTGTATTTCAGTAGTGGCCTGTAACACAGTCACTCCCACTAGCCACTTTTGGCGTGTTGAATTTATGTACAATAAAAGAGCTTGACATTAATGCTTGTCGAGGACAAGTGGAATTTTTGAAGTGGCAAGTGAAAAAATGTTTTACTTGCAGGACCGGACAACTAACCTGATAAAAATTTTTTGTGAGAATGATTTTTTTTTCTTTCAATCAGTGTAAACGGTGACTAATAATGGATAATGTATTGACAGTAATAAGGTCGCACAAACTGGCTGCACACAACTGCACATAGAAGAAACATGGTAAAAATGTTGTTTTTATATTTATAACATATGATATAGCCTAGTTAAGCAACATGACTCAACCAAGAGAGTGCAGTTTTCCCTGAAAACCTGAACCATTGCAAATTCAAACAAGTAGTTAATATTAAGTGACTTACATTTTAGACACAGTATTGTCAGTGTTGACTGTTTTTGCTCAATTTGGTTAACGAAAATAGTTCCAAACAA